AGTTTGATTCCTCTTCCATGGTCTAAATCAAGTCTCGCTTGCAGTGAGGTCTATGTATCCATGACATGGACTGCCTCTTCTGTGTCATCCTGGATCCAAACTGACACCAGATGATGTGAAGTAATGGTCCTCAAAGTTTGTTGTTCAGATTTGCTACTGAATAGTAGTGGTGGTGTTTGTAGTCTTAAGACTTACCCGTGTTGCTACAACCTCTTGGGCATATTGCATTTTTCATGCCAGTCATTTGACATGTTTGTTTTTTCTCCAGAGTGGGACAGATAAGTTACCCAATGAAATGAATTTGCAGACTTTAAAGCAACAAGTAATGCTATTCAAATGTTACCTAATTGAGTAGGACATCAGTTTTGCAAGTCTTTTTCTTTAAAAAAGTCATTTCACTCTGTATCACTGCATCCTGTGTATTTACCCTTGGTGAATTTGTTGCCTTCAGACACTGTCCTTTCTTTTTCTTCCTACTTTCTTTTTCTTGCTCCATTGCAACATCTATTTGAGCAGTTAGTCCATACATCTCTCATAGACCACGCAGCAATGGCTGCTTTTCACTAGTGGGTTATTCTGATTTGTTTATGTTCTGCTCTAATAAGATGCCTTTGCTTCATTATTTAATGCTGACGAAATCTGAGCAAGGGAGATGATGGCGTTCTCCTTCCCCCCGTCACCGCAGCTATAGCTGCTTGGTCTCGACCTCTCCCTTTGTGGAAACAGAGAGGACGATGTAGCCCATGGTGAACAATCTGGCCACTAAAGTAAAAATGTGCATCTGTCAGTAATTAATTGAAGCCAAATTTAATTACAAATCGGGGGGAAAAAAAATAGTACCACGCACTTAATAAAATTTAAGAAGCTTCAGTGCCATTGCCTAAAAACCAAAGCAATCCGAACAAAATACTCGCCCCTCAAACGTCTAGAAGTCTTATCTGTAAGTCTCTTTCAATCTTACTTCTTGACGTTAAATAGAAAAGTGCTTTTGATTAACTGTTTTCACATCCTTTTCAGTATCTTTTTGAGTTAAAGGTCATTGGAAATAGTGGTATGTGTTTAAGGTTAGTTCTTACCCAATTGTGTCAGCTGGAGATCTGGCCCCCAAAATTGGATTTTGACGTTGGATTGCACGTAAATATTCCGATCAGCTTTGAGATAAAAATTCAGGAAGGAATTGAGGGAGAACCCAAATAATTTACAAATGAAATAATGCATTTATGTAACCTCTTGAATATTCTAAAGGTGAGAGATTTGCTGCTGTTAGCTTCAGCCCCGCTCTAGTTTTGCTGGCTAACATCAGTGAGGTCAGCAGGTTGAGACAGGAGGTTCTCAAGAGCTCCATCCGTGGTTCAAACAGAGGTCTGAAAGCCTGGGTGATGTGAGGAGACGCAGGGAAGGGTGGGACATGCGACAGTGGGGCTGGAAGCGCAGCCCCCTTCTACTCCAGCTGCGTCACGTAGCAGATGTGCATGCGGGGAGTTCAGAGGTTTGTTTGAGGGGTGGTATATATGAAGAAGGGGAAAATGCGTTTCATTTCTAGGCAGTAAATTCTTTTGGAAAACAGAACTAAGGTCTGTCACAGTAGGAACACGAATTTCAACTATAGTCTGAAATAACATACTGTAAAATGAGCGAGGGAGAATGTATTTTTAAATCAAAATATTAAAAAGGGATTGGCAGTATGAGTTCAAACAAGCTATTCATTTCTACTGTATTTTAGTATACAAGACAAACCCCAAATTCAGAACTATTGAACTGGTAGCAGCCATGAATATTTATCGCTGTGTACTATATGTACATGTAGTAATTACAGCAAGAGGAAAAAATATTTTTATTTACAATTAATATTTGTAAACGTTTATGAAAGTACATAACAAATAAATAAGACAAACACATGGCCTAATTAAGATGAAAGGCATGACAACCCTTGTGATTTGTTCTGAAAAATAAAGAACGTTAAAATAGTAAGACTTAATTATTTCTGTAAACATTTCAAATTATGCTCTATCTAGAAAAAACTTAATTTATGAGATATTTTATAATGTCTGTAAGAATTTTTGACATTTGTACCTTCTGTGTCAAAAAAATTATTGTTAATTTATTACACTGTATACTGTCATATTATCACTTATTAGTATTTATTGTTCAGAAATTCAGAGTCATCTATTGTTTAATGGGAAATGGAAAAGCATTTTATATCTGATTGCAATTTGCGTATTCTCGGTTTAGTGGTAAAAATGCGACTTCTGCAAGTTGATCGTCTAAAAATGTGTGTAATAATAGACAAAAATAACTGGTCTGTTTAACATGCCAGGCATTAATAATTCTATTTGATATACAGTTTACATTTGAAAAATAACTTAAAGCTAAATCCATGGGCTTGTCTGAATTTGCTGGGGTGTAGTCAAGGAGACTGTATGATGGAGGAACCAAAGCCCTCAGGTTTGATCTTGAGGAGCTTGAAGACACCGTCGTCTTTGAAGCCCTTGTTTCTCAAGGTGGATATGTTCATGGTCATACCTCTTGTCTTCTCCGTGACCTTTAAGGAGGCAACATAGCAGAACATGTTCAGTACTTCTTATCCCAACCGTGCTTGCCTTCGGCAGAAGGATGAGCTGCCCCTAATCTCACTGCAAATGGTTCCCCAACAGCTCCTGTTGTTTGCTATAAAATTTGGGTTGGTTTCTGATCAACTGGAGAAAATGTAGCCATCAGCAGCGGCGTGACCGTGTTCTGTGTTTTATGGGTTTTGTTGGGTTGTCGTAGTGCCTGCGTGGTCTCCGGTGGCACCCTGACTTCGCTCTGCTGAGCGCACAAGAACCCTGCCCAGAATAAAGCCGTATTTGGGCTAAAAATGTGAGGGTTTAAGACTCCGCTGTATGACATTAGGCCTGCCAACTGACATTTCAGGAAAAAAAAAAAGTGCTTTTAGATACAGTATAATTTGGGGCTTGTTGAGAGCAAAGCGGTCAATGCCTTGTGAGAAGTACGGTGGGATTTGATGCCTCCAAGCGCTCACGGCTTTAGTTCTAGATTGGTGCAAAACACTTCTTCCAGCCTCGCGCTCCCCCCGTGAAGGCTGGATGAGGGTCAGTTCAGTCAGTCGGAACGGTCTTTTATTTTAGTACCTGTATCCCCCTAAAGGGCTCACATTGGTAGTGATATCCAAATGTAACTCTGTTTTATGGTCGTCTGCACCTGGCAAACGAAGAACGCTCGTACCTCTTTTCTGGACTGCCAGATCTACAGTCATAAACTCATTTTACTGTGAATGCCGCTGTTTTGCAGCAGAGATTTATGCCCTTGGATTTCATTTGCAGTGCAGGACAGTCCCTGTTGCTGCGGCGGGATTGTCCCCTACAGCGTTCCTCCTCTGCCAGGGAGAGCTGGGTTACCTGTCCTGCGATGCAGCGGCTGCGTCCGTCAGTCCTTCATGCTGACAGAGCTTCTGCCAGACAGAGGGAATATTCCAGTACAAATCAGGTGCTGTTTTAAACTCGCTCCGTGCTGTAAGCCCGGTGAATTGGAGAGTTCAGCCTCCATATCCATAGATACATAAATATGCCCTGTGTGGTCTCCCAAGGGGAAGGCAAAATGTGTTTTTAGTTAAGTTGCATGGGAATTTAATTGAAAGATTTAGGGCAGTGCCATAAAAGAGTAAATCACAGTTCCGTGACACAAAGATTTATAAAGCAAAATGAAAATACTTTAGCACCTTTACTTTTATAATTTGCTGGATATAAATGGAAACCTATATTAGTCATTTTGTCTGCCGGTAACTAAAAAAAAAAAAAAAGTAAAGGTTTTTATATTTTACAGCTTTTCAGTCCTTTGGAGTAAAATAATGGGGAAGACGATACCAAAGGGCAGAGCGTTCTCCGGACACATCGCGGCTCTGAACCTGCAAGCACGCTCAGCTTCCTTCCCATGAATATTTGTATGCATTAAGCACACGCTTAACTTAATTCACATAAGCAGTTCCTCAGAAGTCAGAAGGACTATTAAGTGATTCGGATTAAGCACAAGCTTAGCGTAAGAGCGGAGCTTGTGCGCGTGGTGGCCCTGAAAGTTGGCCGGGCTCCAAGGCAGCGATGGTCCTGCTGGAGGCAAGGAGGTCATTTGTGACACGGGGAAGTGCTGCGGGATGGGGAGCTAGGGCAGTCGCGTTAGACGTGCGACCTTCAACGCAGGCTTTGCGGCGATCCGCGCGGTACCGGGGAGCGCTGTCCGTATTGCACGTCGTAGCGTTGATAGGGCGAGATGAGAATGCCACAATAGCAGCTGAAATGGTGGGGGGGGTGTGAGATGGTGAGTTAATGATGTGGCTGTTAATTTGAATTTAGCAGACGTTTTAAATATAGGTTTCTCTTACAGAGACAAAAGTTGCAATTTAAAGCTCTTTGGTGGTCTAAAAACAGCTTAATTCTCTAGTAGCATGGTAATAAGTACTAATCCAGCTTATACAGTGATTGTAGTATGTCATGTTTGTGAAAGATTGCCTAACTCTGCTTTCTCTGGGTTTTATGTTAATTTTTTTAAATTAAACATAAAACCTTATAACATCTTTATGCTGAGATAAACTGTTCAATTTAACTTGTGCTCAAGCAGCAGCTGTCAGGAATTATCATGTTTCGAGCGCTCTTGCCATCACCTTGTGTCTCTACCTCCTGGAGACGCTCCGTGGGATGATAAAGCTCACCTTGTTAGGATTTATTACTTAAATAGTAACCCGAGGTAAAATGCAAGTTGATGTCACACGGAATGACAACCGACATACATTTATGTCGCATGTTACATTATAATAAACTTCCCGTCCTTCCTCTTGTAAGAGGTGTGAAGTGGGAATGCGCTCCAGCGTATCCTCCAGTGCCCTGCGTGAGTCCGTTAGCCACGTAGGCGGCGGCTCTGGGGGCATGTTCGCGGGGACTCGTGCTGTCAGGTGTTACTGAAGCTTATAATGCCGGAGAAATTATAATAATGCCGGAGAAATTATAATAATGCCGGAGAAATTGGGTATCGCTGGTAGTTGGCAGCTTTTACGCCAGTGAAGAAACAAGTGGAAGAGCTTCTCGTGTTTGTTTGGTTAAATGCTGTGAAGTAATGCAAGCGACTCAAGAAGGGTGTTTTCTAATAATATTATCGCTTAAATGGCTTTGGTTTCATTATTGCTTTTTTCTGTAACAAACGTAAGTGCTGTCGTTTCAGGCTCTAAGTCGGAATTTGCTAGAAATCACAACGGTTTTCTCTTGACGCTGGTTTATTGATGGGCTGGGCAGCGATAAGCGGTCTGCTTGTTCATTGAGACTTATCCCTTCCTGTTTACAGTGGAGAAAATTTGGGTCTACCTCTTGCAAGCTTTCCAAGTTTTCGGCCTTTCTTGCCTTACTAGAAGCCAGCCTCCAGCTCCCTCTAATGATGCTATTGAATCCTCCGGTTTTCTAAGCTGGTACTGCAAACATTATTTTCCTTTCCTGTGGATATAACGGTCCTTTTTTTTTTTTTTTTTTTTTTCATATTCCTCTCCTAGTTATTCCTTTGTCCATCAGAGCGAGTTCAGATATTTCAGAGCTACACGGTTTTGTCCGAGCTTAAATCTTGGATCTCATTTCTCGTCGCGCTCCCCGTTGCCCTTTTCTCTCCAGTCGTCATGTTAACCTTGGCACCCCCACTGTCTTCTCTTTCCACTCTCGCTTTTGTGCCTTGCCCTGTGCTCCTTCCCGTGTTTTCAATCCCAATGTGCCATCTCTTTTTTCTTCTGCCCCCCCCCTCCCTCAACTTCATTCAAACGCAGCCAAGCTCGCAGACGCTATCCTGCATCAATTCAGTTTTCTTCCTAACTCACTGCAGAAAGAGGTTTTCTGAAAAATGAGCAAAGGAAAGGATAAGCTATAGTGCAATCCCGAACTAGCCAAAATTTTGCCAAGCAACCATTTAATCTCATTTCTGTAGTGTTTGGGCTATGTTTTCTCCTGTTTGCAATTTTGTTTGTCACTCAGGTGCTGAACTCCCGGCCGTCTCCGAGCAGGGGCATGGCATCACCCGTGGGAAGTTCCCTGCCTCTGCTTTGAGGCTGGCAGCCAGGTCGTTACGAGGTCCAGAGGTTATTACTCTTCGTGACAAATAAGCGATGACTTACGTAAAACTATTTTTTCCTCTTAGTATGGCTCATAATAAACCCGAGCTCGTACCTTAATTGGCATTCTGTTTGACAGTCCCTTTAGAACGATCAAATATTTGATGAACAAGGCAATAACATTCATCTCTTACTTTCGTAAGCCTTTCAGATTAGCATTGACTCAAGTTGATGAAGATGGATACAGGATCTGTTCTCTAGGAAGTGTTTGCTCTGTAGATGCAGATTATCTAAGAATGGTGTGTGTTAGCATAGGTGATATTATGATATTTATATGGCTATTCGGGGAAGTTCATGAGTTTTACGGTTGACAGCCAGGATCAGAAGTTTTTAATATTAGTGATGTCGGTTTGGCAGTAATCTTGGACACAGAATCCATGTAAAAATGGGAAGCGTAGGAATAAAACAGGATAAAGAATAGGAGAAAAAAGAGGAAAGATTTTAAAAGAATTAAACATTGCATAAATCAGTTCTGAATCTGAACCACTAAAATGGTGGATAGCAAAAAAAACCAGTCAGAAACATGCTATGTTGCAAAGTAGTCTATTAAAGCTTAATGTTTTATGTGCAATAAATGTGATGTCAGCTCTTTTTTTTTTTTTTATCCCTTATGATGAGAAATGTCTATGGCTCTGCAGTTCTCTGTAGGTCCAGGATTCAGTGCTTGAAAGCAGCGCTAGCCAGGGGACAGGAGATGCTCGCATGCTTGTGGTGAAACGCAGGGAAATGTGCCACTGGTTGCAGTAGGGTCACGATTTCATATTACACGTTTAAATACATTCATTTCCTGATAGCTTGGTAAGTTATGCGAGGCTGAGACAGCAGCTTGTTAGTGTTGTTTGTGCCTGGTTTATATAATTGAAGGATGGGTGCAGTGTTGTAGACTGTGGAATAGCAGGAGTGCTACGGCAAGACTGGGGTGCGAGGGTAGAAACAACATTTCATTGTAGAGGCTACCTAATAAAAATGTGAAAATAAAACAGAAAAAGGGG